TGACACGGAAAAAGGGAGAGGACAAGACTGTACACGTGTGATAAATAAAAACTTTTATTAATAAATTTGTTTTATTTTTGAGGAAATTTGAAATCGCGCCCTGCGTATTTTTCTTTAGTTCCTAATCTTTGCTCAATCCTCAAAATTTGGTTTGAGGAGGAGACAATTGCAAGCTTTAAAAATATAATAATAATAATACAAAATATTGCAAAAATACTACACAAAAACATGATAAATGTGTACCTACACAAAAAAAAATACATATATGAAGACAAATACATTGCAAATGCCTAGCCTATACAGTAAAACCATAAAATACACACGGTGAAAAACATAAAAGCGCAAAAACGTAGAAATTTAAATACCCAACTTAAAAAATATATACAAAGGGTCCTAAAAAAACGTAAAAGATTTCGTCGGTTAATTGTCATGTCAATATAAGAAAAAATCTCTTATGAACTTATGTCCAAAAATGATTCCTAAGAGAGTTAAAGCCTTTCGAAAATAATAAATGTTTTTTTTTCAATTATTTTGATATCCATTCAAGATAAATTAAAAAATTAGACACGGGGTAAAAAAATCTTTGTTTAGGAGATATCTTTCGTTTTTTTTTTTTAGCTTTTCATTAAAAAATGTCTATTCTATTATTTTTTGAGTTTTCTCAAATTATCCCTAAGAGGCATTTCCGGACATTTTGATATCCATTCAAGATAACTTAAAAAACAATTAGACACGGGGTAAAAAAATCTTTGTTTAGGAGATGTCTTTCGTTTTTTTTTTAGCTTTTCATTAAAAAATGTATCAAAAATAACGAATTTAGATAAAAAAGTATACTTCAGAATTTTCATATGTAAAAAACTGAAAATGTAATCATTTTTTTATTCCAGTATTTTTCTTTATTTTTACATTAGTTTTTTTGATTTACGTTTTAATCTATGTACCTATCGTAATCGAAAAAGTATATTTATTGCAGTGTTTTGTAATATTTCCTTTTATTATTGCCTTGTAATTTTTTCTCTCTTAAAATCGGTTATAACGTGTTTTGGATTTTTGGGGCTCGGCATTGGTCGCGAGCGTTTTTCTTTATTTTATGCTACCGAAAACTAAAGGAAAGACATTGAGTTAAATTGAGGATTATTTCCAGGAGAGAAATTTCACGTGGGTGACACGGAAAAAGGGAGAGGACAAGACTGTACACGTGTGATAAATAAAAACTTTTATTAATAAATTTGTTTTATTTTTGAGGAAA